CGAAGTTATAACTTCGTCAACATTCTTGACGAAGTTATAACTTCGTCGACCGGTGTAACTTCGATACGACATATATATACATATATGAATTATTAAAATAAATAGGATTTATCTTTTGCATACAAATTAATCTTAACAAATGGAAATAACTTATTTATGAAACATTTTTCTAATGATGAACAAGGTAATAAAATCTTTTATATTTATTAAATATTATATTTCTTTTATATTCTTCAGGAATATTGCAATTATATATTATTAGTACAAGTATCTATACTATAATTTTATTAATTGTTCTTAGATATATATGTAAGTTTTTTTTTATTTGAATTTATATATAAAATGAAAGAATAATTTTGTTTTTTTTTGTTGTCTAGATTCATCAAAAACAAAATCTTGTTTAATAATTAATTTATATCTTATTTCAATATTATTTTCATGGCTTAATAGTTTAATATGTTTTATTGAAATGTTTATATTTGCATTAATAGGAAATATTGATGCATTTGTATTTCAATTACTAATATTTCTTGCTCGATTGTTTAATATATGTGCTCATACATTATTTCTTTTTATATTAATTCTTTCTGCAAAAGGTTATTTAATTATATGTGTTCATTTAAAAAAGAAAACACTAACAGAAATAATGCTGATTATTCTATTATATATACATGTGCAGATAGCTATTTTAATTATTATAACGACAGTAAGTTAATAAAACTAATGATATCTTGTAAAGACTTCTTTTTTCTTTCATTAAGTATGCCGATCGAGTATTTATCAATGAAAACATTTTCATTATATGTGATTATATTCAAATGATAATGTATCTTTTTACTTGTCTTTGGTTTATTATATCTCTTATATTAACAATTAAAAATTCTACTAAAACATTTTATTCGTTTTTTATTTTTTCTTTCTGGTAAAAAACAAAGAAAATTATTTTTCTTTTGTCTCTAATAATAATAGCAATAATTTAAATAGGTTTTTAACTAATGCAATTGTTATTTTACTAAATATTCTTGATATTATACCAAATTTTCAAATAACAATTCTCAAAGCAATGACAATATCTATTCAATGTTTAACATATTGTATATTTATGGTATAATTTAGAAATTTTATAATCGATTTAAATCAATGGTTTTCTTTTTTTCGTTTTCGTTTAATCTTTTAGTTTATTATTCGACAAAAAACATTTTTGTTACGAACAAAATTAAATCAAGTAAGAATTTTCTTATTGAATTTTGATTTTTTTTTTTTTTTCGTTTGATTATTTTCTTTATAAAAATAAAAGATTAATATAACTTATATTGATCCAACAGTGTCAAAATCTCATATTAAAGAACAATTAACAAGACAAAATACCATTAATACTCATCCAAGTGAATTCACAAATTTATGTTCTATTGAAGTCATTTCTTTTTTTCTTTCCTCAATATGAAATGAAATATTTTTTTGTTTTTCTAGAATACTAACATATCAAAATTTCGAATGCCTTTAAAATCTTTCGAAACAATTTCTCGTCTTGAACCACGTCGAGATGTGTTATTAAGTGCGTTGACACAATCATCGATTATTTCATCCCAACCTTCGATATGTCTCGTTCCACGTCGCTTACCACCATTGAAACATAATGATTAATGAATAATATTGTTTATTTGTTTGTTTCTTGTGCTTCATTATGTTTTTTTCTTATTTTATTTATTTAGATTTTATTAAGCTATTTTTTGTTTAGTACAACATCATAAAACTAAATTAAAGATAGTTCAATATTAGTTTGTTATTTTTGTTTTCTTCTTCCATGATCATTTATGACTTTTCTTGGATTTTTTTTCGGTGTCTTTTTCTTTAACTTTATCTTTGTCTTTATCTTTATGTTTGTCCTTTTCCTTTTCTTTATCTTTGTCTTTATCTTTTTCGTTTTCTTTTTTATCCATTTTTCTATACAAAAAAAAAAAATAAAATTATTCATTAAATATAAAATAATCAATTAACATACTTTATAACAGTAGCTGGAATAAAACTTGTATAGAGTTTATCCGGAATTGCTTTAACAGTTCTTTCGAATGCTTCACTATGAAAAAAAAACAAACAACAATATTTTTGATTAAGATTTCAATAGAAGTAGAAAAAAACAAAGGAAATTACGGTGGTAAAATTATTGGTGGTGGTAATTGTTGAACAACAAGAGCAGGACGTTTAGTTGATTGATTTGTTGGTTTGTCAGGCTTATCACGTGATTTTTTCGATGATGATTTCGATTTTGAACTTTCCGATTTTGAACTTTCTTTTTTTGATGCTTCAGGTGGATTTTGTTCGACACTTTCATTTAGTGCTTCCACATCTTCAAAATCAATAACTTCATTGTATGGATTACCTGAAATATTAAATTAGATGAAATTATGTTTAAAGATTAGGAGAAAATATTTTTTTTCTTTTATTTACTTGGATCAGCACTAGCATGAACAGTAAATCGTTTCGGTTGTGGTTTAGGAAATGGAATATCATCTTTTGTTTGTTTAACAATTTTAATTGCTTCTTCTAATGTTAAATAAGCAGTATCTACTGGTCGATCTTCTTCAGCTTTCATTCGCACACTTATTTCAAAAGCTGTTTCAACACAATCAAGCTATTATATTTTGAAACAAAAAAAAAAAAGAAAATTTGTAATAAGTAAAAAATAAATCTTAACAAACCTCGTCAGGTAATGCTAATTGAATTTTACTTTTGTGAAGTTCTACTGAATCATCAAAAATCATATTCATTTTACTTCGAACTTCTTCATAACGTTGATAATCTTTTTCATCAAATTTTTCTTCTTTTTTTTTATCTGGTTCAACATTTTCACCTTCGCGCGGTAAACCAAATGTTAAACATCTAATATATATATATATATATATACATATACATATTAATATTTAGACAAAAAATAAAGCAAATTTTAAAAATTTTTTATACTTAGCACAATGTAATGTATATTGTGTTAATGGTGAAAGTTCAATTAATTTTGGTTGATCTTGACCGATAAGAAAACCTAAAACAGATTTTGCAACACAGAATTTTTCTAATCTAACTTCTGGTTTAAAATCAGGTAAATCAGCCGGTAAATGTGTTGTTACTTCAATATCGAGTGGAAAATCATAACGCATCATTATTTCTGGAAATGTAAATGTTCCTTCATGACTTTTATATTGTGCATGTAATTCAGTATCTTCAATTAATGTTGCAAAACGTAATGGTACACCAGGTGGTAAAATAAATTCATGGCCACTTTTTGGATCTTGAAGTACAAATGCTTCTTTTGGTTCACTTACAATTAATTCACCTTTATCATTTTTAATACGTGATTGATATTGTTCACGACGTACAACATTTAGACGAGCACTTTTACGTAGAACAATTTTATCCCATTCATGAGTTGATGATGCTTCTTTTTTACGCATATGTGCTGGTGTATCAGCAAGAACTTTTATTGAGCGTGGTAAATCAAATCGATATAATTCAAATGTACCTTGAAAAATCCACCAACGTTTTTTAAGTACGGGGTGTTTTGATACAATACGACATTCACCTTGGAACCAATCTGGTATAAGATATTTTTGTTTTGATGAACTACTTTTACTTGATGATGATAATGGTGAAGCAATAATTAAATAACGATCAAATAATGTTTGTAAATACATTGATTGATTTTTAATCAAATTTGTATTCCATCCTTGTTCAACACGTATTATTTGTGGTAATTGATAATAATCAACAAAATTATGAAAATAATATTCACCATTTTCCCATTCAACTTTATTGAGATCTTTTACTAATTTATCTAATTTTTCTGTATCATTTGATGAAAGTTTAATGGGATAAATTGAAGCTAAAGCCATTTAATTAGAATCAACGATAGAATAATATCTAAATAAATGAAAAGAATATTTTATGTATTGGTAAAAAAAAACCTCAATAAATAAACGAAGCAATCACGCGTAGATACGTTTTATCGTTTAATAATACAAGGTGAGTGATTAAGATTGACATATCTATCTATCTATATATATATATATCTACAATAAAAAATTACCTTCTTCTTTTTCTTATTGTATCGTTTCGGTTGATAATCCTTAATAAACATTGAAGTAAAGGTAAAAGTAGAGCAGAGCATAAAAATCATTCGAATGCTAATATATACCGACATGGATCAATGAATCAAATTTTTCTGTTATGAGCAAATAATAGACACAAATATAGTTGTAAAATACCCATTTGTTAATTTTGAAAATATGGTTTTTCTTTTCTTCAAATATTTTGCTATTATGTATTTTGACTGTTCGTGATTATATTCAAAATAAACAAATTAATATAAGAAATTTTTTCCGACTTTATAACCCTCGATGAAAAGTTACAAATCATAATCAGAGATATAAATAGTCCGATCGACTGTTTACTATTTTATTCTTTCAAATGAATCACAATGGGTGATAATTGGTGGCTTTTGTGTTTTTTTATAGCTCTCTAGTACGGTGTCGAAAATTTTTGCACTTTGCGTATTATTCACATTATTTGATGTGCAAAAAGTGCAATATTTTTTTTTTTCATTTTTTTTATACATGGCTAAATAGAGCGCGACGAAGTTAGTAAGAATATGTATTCTATCATTTCTTTTTCAAAGTTTTTCGATTAAACAAATCGAGTTTTCAATAGTCCTGCAATGGTCGATGCTTTTCTAAACGTACGTTTTTCATACTGAATAACTGATAGATCTAGATTCACCATGAAAAGTTACGTCTGTGAAACTAATTTTAAAATTAGTTTCACAGACTCAGTTTTTCATAGCAGATCTAAATATATCAGTTATTTAGTATGAAAAACATACTTTTAGGAAAAATTGATCATTTAGCATTATCGAAAAACCTCAATTTTTTCTTTAATCGAAAGACTTTTAAAACAAAATAATAAATTACATATTGTTACTCATTTCGTCGAGTTCTATTTAACCATGTATAAAAAAACAAAAAAGAAAAGATTTTGCTCGAATTTTACATTATTTGCAATTTGAATAAAAGTAATTTTTTTTAAAGAAGTACATTGATATACATATGAAGACATGGATTCTTTTTTGTGAGATTTTTGATAAATAATATTTTATTTCCAATTTGTTTTTTTTTCGTTTTAAAAACCTACTTTTATGTTTAACACCGATAAAGGTCTTTTGAATAGTCATTCAAAAATCGTTTAATCATAGTGTGTCACTCACACATAAACACATATAGTTACATGCGCGCACACATGCAAACATGAGCCCGAAATATATATATATATTTTTTTTTTTTGAGAGACAAAAAAAAGAAAAGGCTCAGATAAATTTGAAGAAATAAAAAAAAAACGCAGAACAGAAGACAAAAAAAGAAAAGAAAAAGAAAATAGAGTGAACAAATGAAAAAGAAAAAAGAAACAAGGGAAGACAATTATATGTCATATGATTAATGTAAAATGGTCATGGATGATGTGATGAACACGAATTAGAAGACAAAATATGAATGAATACAATCTCACAAATAATAACCGAAAAAAAAAGAAAACAACCACAAAAAAAATGATGCTTTGTTTGTTTAGGCTACATAGTTATACATTTTCCTATAAAAAGACAAAGAGATTATAGAAATTAATAATATATATATATATAGAAATGTACAAGGTGGCACAGAAATGACTAGATAATAAGAATACTCAATATCTCGAATCAACTTTAATCAATCGAGCTGAGTTTTTTCATGAATTCTATAACTTAAAAAGGAAAAGAGCTTACGATCTAATCAACCTATCATTATGTAAAATATCTGCAGTTTTTAAACGCTCAAAATAAAATTCAATGAAATTGATAATGTAAATAGCCGCATTAAAAGACTATATAATGATAGGTTTGCCAAGTCATAAGCTTCTTCCTTTCCTAAGTTGAAGGACTCACAATGGGAATAATTACCATATATCATAACTCTTCTTCCACTAGGGAACTGCGGATCTTTTCCAGATCTGAACCTGGCAGGATCCGAGCCCAGGTTCAAAGTTTTATTTTTTTGTCGGACCCGGTTACACGTTTATGTGAATATCCTGCTTCTCTTCAGATGAGAAATACAGCAACAAGATATAACTTTACATTGAGTTTTTTTCTAAGAGTAGCGAATAAATAGCTAAAACCTTGATGCTTTACTTGTTCATGTACACGAATGATGCCAGGTATTGGTGGAAAAAACCCCGAGTTTGGATCCGAGTCTGGGTCCACAAAAAACGTGGACCCACAGCTCTCTATCTTTGACTCAAGTGGACAAAACCAAGGTGATGTCACTGATCTACATTTTCATAGTAATATATATGCAAAAAATTTCATATGTCTAGCCCTCAGAATGACTGAGCTACATCTTGGTCTATAGTTCTACATGATATCTTTTCAATAGTGTTCTTATGAATAAAAACTTTGATGAATCCTCGACTGCCAAAAAAGAACATTCGCTCGATTAATTAAAGCAGACTGTAGATATTGTATTTTCTTTATCGTCTAGTTATTTATAAGTCAACCTGTATATTCGTCTTACCTATCTTCGGATAATCGTGATAAATAATCTCGTTCAATTAAGCTTTCAATTCGTTTCTTTATAAAACCAGGACTGGGCATAAATCGTGCTTTCAGTTGATGAGAAACCTACACAAAAAAGAAAAAACAAATTTATTTTTAAAAAAGAAAATCTACAAAAAATTTTTACTTCAGCAACTAATTGTGTATGTGACATTGTTTTTCTTGTTTTCATTGTACGTACAATAGCTGCATCAATTTCATGTTTTCGATCATCTTCAACTTTACTTCGAGTTTCTTGTCGTTCAGGATCACTTTCAGTTTTAGGTGTTATTGGATTTATTTTTACACGATATAATTTTGATGTAAATGAATCATTAACAATAAATCTATCATTTGATTTAATATCTTTTGTTTTACATTCTTTAAGAAGTATACGTTGACTTGGTTTACCCATTGCTAATGGTAACAATGCACGTTGAAGATCTTTTTCATTTATATCTGTTTCATGATGCATTTCCTATTAAAAGGAAAAACAAATGTTATATATTAATAATTCTATCTTAGAATCTCAAAAAAATAGTAAAATATAAAAAGTCCAAAGTTTTAATCGCATACAACAAAAGCTGTTAACGCAATCCTTGCAGGATTAAAATGTGAAATACGATATAGCTGTTCTTGGTAATCACAGAGTGATTGTTTTATTCTATCTGTTTTGGGACACATTTCTTAGCCTTCTTTTTACTTAATCTTCTAGAAATGCCATAGAAAAGTAATTCGTAGATGATAACAAGACATATGATACAGGGTCCATGATGCGGAGAGAAGAAAGTTGCTAAGATGTCTCTGGATACAATTTGGCAATTCCAAAAATGACCCAAAACTATGGTTTCGATTTGGTTTCCAAAATAGTCCGTAGAACCAAAAACATTAAATCATCAGATAGATACGAAAATTTTGAATCTATTTTGAGAAATTTTCAATATTGAATTGTTGAGATTAAAGTCTTTACATATTTTGGTACTTCAACAAAAATAATATTATACATATATACTGAAATATGTAATGTCAAGAATGAAAAAATGAAGATTTCTCGGCATAGATTTAAGAATTTTTATATCTATCTGATGATTTAGCACTTTCGGTTTGGTTTCCGGAACCGTCGAACTCCATCTGTGAGATAAAGAAGGGAGTGAATTAAAACTTTTACTTCTATACTTCAACATTCCTTTTAGATCGTATTTCGCAAAAAATATTCTAAGCACTTCATTATTAAATATTTATATATGAAATACTGTCCACAGATCTAACAAGATTAAATTAAAATAATTTTATTTTTCTTGAATTTAGTTTTATATTTTGATGCTTATTTTGTTATAGTATCAACGTGAAAAATAATCATTTTCTCAGTGTTTTTTCTTTGTTTATCTCTTTTAAAAATTAGAAAAATTTTCATCAATAAAAATTACTTCGAATGTCCAACATTCTTTTGTATTAAATAACGTTAAAATAACCATTTGATAAGTTGATACTTGTAATGTATGTTTACGTTCTTTTGACATTGTTGTTGTTGGTCGCATTTCTCCATCATTATCATCTTCTCTTGGTTTACCATAAAATATCGATATTAAATCAGCTGAACCTAAACTTGGTTGTAATGTCAATTGTCTTCCACTATGTTTACTCAAATAAAAACGATGAAAACATTGATATGCGTCTCGAACAGCTGCTGGTAAATTACATTGATTATTTGTATTTTGTGTTGGCCAAAAGCCTGTTGTTAATACTCGTACAAATAAATCAATACCATTTAAATTTAACTATTTGACAAAAAAACCAACATATGAAAGATGAAATAGAAAAAAGAAATATATCAACAAATGATTTTGTTGTATTTTTTGTTTTTGCTTACTCGTTTTTGTGAAACATGTAAACGAAAATCATCTGCTGTTGAATTTGATAGAGTTATATCTTTAAACATTCCTTCTAATTTACATGTAAATTGACAACCACATTCAGTTTTTAATCTTGATATCATATTTTTTTCAGCATCATCTGATGCTGATTTATTTAACAATAAACGTTTAGCTAAATGTTGTTTATAATATCGTTCAAATACATCTTTTTCTTCTAAATATCGAAATAATATCATTGCTTTATCAAGTACAACTTCGACTTCTAGATCACCAAGCTATAATTCATGAAAACAAAATCTTTAATATTTATTAATAAAGAACCGGGGGGAGAGATGAGGAGTCATTTTTAGATCAATCTCAGCTTCCTTCCATTCACAATTTACTCAGTGCAATATTCACATTTGTACCATAAATACATGATTCATATGTGGAAGAGTAGCTCGTATAAATTTTCTCATACGAAGACATTTTCAACTGAATAACTATGTCAATTGATTATCCATTCTATAGTCTTTCTCTGGTAAAAATGTCAATTCGAACGGTTGAAGTGTTGCTGAATAATGATGTAAATATTGTTCCAAATGAACATGAAAATCATATAGTTATATTATCATTTCTATTTAGTTTTGATCATTGTTTTCTAAATATCTCGAGAAAGGATAAAACAACATAGAACTTTAATTGATCCTGAAAGCTCGTAGAAAGAACTACAAAATCAGATACTTTTTGATTGTTTTTAGGCGTAGGCTTTATTAAATATAAAACGACTTGAATTTTGTTTAGACACCATTTTTTCACTGGCGTTTGACAGATTTTAATTGGAGAAAATAGCCTTTGAGTAAAAAATAGTAGCATATTTGAAATCAACATAAAAACTGAGTTGACTTACATGTGTATCAAAATTTTTCGACGAATTTTTTCTTTCAAAAAATGTAGCTGAATCCCCTCAGAATCCTGTCAAAGCGAATTTTAACTAGAAAATTATTAAAATCAATTTAAACGAAATGTAAGTCATCTTATGTAACAAAGACCACGCCTAAAAAATCAAAAAATATCTGGCTTTGCAGCCCTTACTACGAGCTTTTAGAATTAATCAAAAATCCATGGTATCTTTTTTTCCTTTCTCGAGATATTTAGAAAATAGTGAGTAGACGTGAACAGAAATGGTAATATAACTATATGATTTTCATATTCATTTAGAACAATATTTATATCATTACTCAGCAACATTTCAATCGTTGGAGCTGAAATTTTTACTGGAGAAAAGCTATAGGATCGATAATCAATTGACATAGTTATCAGTTGGAGACGTCTAGTATGAGACAGGTCTGCATCCTACAGAAATCACTTTATTTTGTTACCAAACAATTTCTTATAAAATTTTTCATTAGGTAAACTATGAATGGAGTAAAACCGAGCATGATCTCAAAAAATGATCCTTATAAGTCTTTGTCCTTTATTTTTACATACCTCTTTACCACCTTTTTTTAATTTGTCATCAATAAATAATGATAAATATTCAGGACTACGTTGATTCAAATTAATAAAATATTCAAAATCAGAATTAATTCGTTTTTTAAAAATCTACATGAATAAAAATAAAAAAAAAACTATGCATAAAAATTCTATTCTCAATTATATTTCATTTAAAAAATTAACCTTATCATCGTTGAATGCATGTTTAAGAAAAGAATCAAACGTATCTTTCAAGTCGAGTAAATTCTAAATAAACGAAAATATATTTCATAAAATAAAAAATAGAAAATATTAAATTAAATATTTTATTTTGTCTTACTTGAATATAAATAATTGCATTTTTTCCTTCTTCAGCATTTTCCGTAACAAGTGCACGACCTTGTTCACGTAAATAACTACTCATACAATCAGCTATTGTTGAATGACCATTGGGAACACGTTCAAATAATTTATACATTGTTGCGAGATCATCACATTTACTAAATTTTAACATTGAATAAACACCAGAATTTTCCATTTCAACAATAGTTTTTAAATGTTTTGTTATTAATTCATCTAATTTGAAGAATAATACGAAAAAATATAATCATCATAATAATAATAGTTAAATATCATTGTTCATACCTTCTAATACACGAACAATTCGTTCTTCTGTTGATTTATCAAGATAATGGACGGCTCGTTCAGCTTCTTCACTTATACGTGCAGCTACTTTACGTATATATACAGATGCACTATTTTCAGCTAATAATTTTTGACTTTCAAGCTTAATAGAGAAAAAACAAAAATATTTAAATAGAAAAACAATAGAAAAATGATTAATTCATACTCGATAGAATTCAGCTGATTGTAATAAAAATGGTGTTTCAAAATCATCTGCATACACTGAACGATTATCAATGCCTAAACTCATCAACATCTGACAAGCATTTTTCACAGCACTCCTAGAAAATAAATTATAGAATATAGTTCATATTAATGTATATATAAAACTACGTACAAGATATTGAATAGTATACATTAGCTCTCCTTACAATACTAGCAATAATTTTCATATTTGAAAATTTTTATTAGAAATTAAATTCTCTAGAAAATCACTATTTGAATTTTTAATAGCGTTTATAGCGGTAGAAAACAATTGGTCGAATTATTTTGAGAGATACTGAATGCACAATAATCTGTGTTCATATTAGACATATCTTTGTATTAGATTTTTCTTGTTGAAGAATCATTCGGTCTATTATTGTTTTCTGAACAAATCAAATACATAAGAAACTACCCGTCTCTGATGAAGAAATCCATCCGACTGATAATCTCCATTTGAGCTCATAGTATAGAAAAAACTCTGAAAGTATTCGTGCCATTAGACATTTCTTCTCGAGTTATCGTCATTTTACTGAACTTTCAATTTATTGCAGGATGTCACAAGAAAAATTGCAACAAAAAGTTTCTGCCTGAAATTCTCTCTAACAATAACTCTCATAATCTTTATGATATTCTGAATGTTTTCCTTCTGAGATAACACGTTTGCAAAAAAACACGTTACTTTCACACAAGAGTTCCAAAAATAGTCCTGTTTTCAGGATACCATATAGACTATGAAAGCTATTATGGAGGAAGAATTTCAAGGCGAAACTTTTTGTTGCGACTTTTCTCGTGATCTCCTGCAATCAGCTGAATGTTTAGTAAAATGCTCATAACTCAAGCAGAAAAACCTAATGGTGCGAATCCTTTCAGGATTTGTATCTACACTATGAGGTCAAACGGAAAATATCAGTTGGACGGGTTTTCTCATGAGTCGTCACATTCTCTTCTTTCAACTATAATCGTTATTAATATAAAATCTTTTTCATATATTTCGTTTTTCTACTATTAAACTTACTTTTCAATAATTTCTCCACGTCTTTCTTTAGCTACCATATCAAGTAGTGTTTGTCTTAAATGATCACGTATTGATGGATATCGAACAACATTATCACGAAATAATATAACACCCAAATTAAAAACAGGTTCAAGTTTTTGTCCACTAACATACACTCGATCCATATACATAAGTATATCACGTATCATAATCATTGCTGTTCGATGATCATTCCATGCACAATTGAGTGCAGTTAAAAAATTATTATTTAATGAATCAATTACATCTTGTCTGACCTATATTGTTTTGATTAAAAATAAACAAAAATTCAATTTGAAATATGGAAACAAAACAAAACAAAACAAAAAATTTGATATCATACTTTTTGTACAAGATGTTCCATAACAACTCCACGTGTGCCTGTGTAAAGTTTTTCTCCATGTTTATGCAGCACCATTGTATAAGCATTACGATAAAGTTCTTCAAAACTTAAACCACTGTTATTTTTCTTTTGAATTTCTTGAATAGCAGCTTTCAATGATGTATTCCATATTTCATCAACATAGCGATCGTCCATTACCGTCTAATTAATTAGAGAAAAAATATATACATAAAATCATATATATATATATTTGAAGAAAAAAAAACGAAATTCTTTATTATCTATTTTTCTTAATATTCTTTCTCTTGTGCTTACTCGTTGAGCTGCAAGAACTAATAAATTTGGTTGAGAAATTTTAACTCGACCAACATTTGAACTTTCCATAGATATTATAAATTGACAATTATTAAAATTTGACCTATGGCTTTGAATACTCATCATGTGGTACCCTTTTCTTTTTATACTTTTTCTTTCTTTGCTATACTACATACAGAATACACTTATAGTGTGGACTTTAAGTATGAAAATCAGCATCATCATCATGAGAGAACGAAAAAAAAAAAGAGAAAAAAAGAAAACACTCAGAATGGTTAAAGGTAAGAGGTAAGGAAACTAAAAATGACTATGGATTATTTTTATATAAAAATAATAATAAAGAAATTTACTTACGAAGAATTGACGAATACGCATTTTTTTATTTTTGTCTTCCACGTTGACAAATCCTCTACTCATAGTCTAGCAGGGAAAATAAATGCTAAAAAAAAGAAAGAAGAAAAAATTAAAATAATAAAAAACAACCAAAGTTCTTATTTGAAAGTGCTAAATTTTGTTGAATTTCGAACAATAGAAATTCCGAATGTTCTTTTTTCTTAGCTCCAGTAATATTAGTATGATGGCTCGAAGTCGATGGTATAAAATCTTTAGAATTTCTTAATTGTTTTTTTACATAATTGCCTATCAGTAAATTCACTTGAACATTACTGGTTGTTTTTTGAATAGTGATTTTTATTCTTTCAAATTCATTGTACAAACTGATGTATTTTGGAGGCTCGATTCATGTCTCCTCAGTAGAGCTCGTCGAGTTCAAACTTTTCTGGATTCGATTAACGGGAAAATTTCCCGCTCGGACCCGACGAGCTCTACTTCTCAGAACTTTACAAATGTGAGAAAAAATGGGAATCAAAGTTGACTTCGACTTCTTCCTATGGACATAGACCTAAAAGAGACACCAATCGAATTCCAAAAATAAATCAGTTTGTACAGTGAATACCAAATAATAAAACTTACAATTTAAAAAACCTCTTGTGTTAAATCTGATTTATTCATGAGATGTTTAGTTGACTCCGATACAGGTTTCTACTAACTTGCCAAGTTTTGGAATATTCTCGATTGTCTATGTTTTATTTCGTTCAACAATCAAAACAGACTACTTCTATTATGAAACAACCGTTGGAAACTGATTTTACATAAGTCTATCAGCAAAATTTTTGAAATAAGTTGGTTATTTTGTAATTTTTTATGAAAAATTACGTAACAATATATTTATTGATAGAAAATGAAAACGCAACAAAAAAAGAAGTCTCATAGGTTATGTTGCAACATCCCATGAAATTCGATGAAATATTTATTATATCTATGCTTGAAAAGATATTAACTTCTATTTTGAAAAAATTTTTCTTTTTTGATTAGTTGTTTTTTATTCTCACAGATAACAAAGTATAATATAAAAAACAAATATCTTACTCACTCTATTGATAATAAACCATGCAATATTACACAATCTAAAATTGACAATAAGAACAACATAAAGAAATGACTATATTTGGTATGATATTGTCTATTGCTTTCAACTTTCGTTTTATTAATAATTCTTTCAACAGTTAAAAAAAATCTATGTAAAATGTTGTGAACCGCAGATATATATATATATATATATATATTTAACAAATCCAGGAATTCTGTGAAACTTAAAATGCTAAATAATTAACTGACTTTTCATTCGTTATCTTGAATGTAGACAGAACAAAAAAGTATGATTTTGTTTTATCAATTTGAATATATGCATAATGTTAATAATTGCTTCTTTCATTCAAATTCAATCAATGATTGAGAAAAAAATCAAATGTCGTTTTACTTATTAGCTTTCCTTTTGTAATGTGATTCATCGATGTTCTCAGGAACAGGTGTATAGATTAACATCTGAATGTTTATTTTTCTATACACTATTTCTTTTGCATATGTTGAGTTTTATTTTTAAAAGAAGTTTTACTTTTTTGATTATTAAATAATAGTACATCTATAACTTTCTTATGAATTTGACTATATAAAACAAAATTGTAATAAGAATTTTGAATGAAATAAAATTTTTAAAATCGGACCTTATTAATTATCATTATTGACAACTAATAGAATGTGAACGAAAATAAAAATCATCAACATCATGCATTGGTGAATAAATCATACTTTTAAATAAAGACTTGAAGATTCATCAAACAAGAACTAGAATGTTTTAATAAAATTGATTGCTCTTATATAATTAATCCCATATTATTTTCATTATCATACCAGATCGAAATATTTAGAAATGATTTCTAATATCAATGAAATGATAAATATAAATAACTTAATATTGATTTAAACGAAAAATATATATATCTATATCATTTGTCTAGAACAAAAAAAAAATAGTAAGTACTAAAATATTTTTTTATTCCGGCGCTAGATAGAGAAAAAAATATGTTATTTCTTGTTTTTTTTTAAGTAGAAAAATCTGTGATATCCACAATAAATAATCAAATATTTTGTTTGAAATAATATAAATTTAATCTTAAAAAGAATAGACATTTTATATCTAAGAATATCTCGAATTATTGTTTAGAATAAATGTACCTTAATCAACTTTAATTGTCATCAATGTTTTGGAAAAAATGATTATTATTTTTTTTTAATGAAAATATCAAAGGATATATGACTCATCTTTTTGATTAGTGCATAACTGTGTTAATCAGAAATTGATGCTTTTACTTTGAAATAGTATATATAGAAAAAAACAAAAAATTTTGTGTATGAATTTAGAGAATATATAGACTGCATGAGAGAGGCACACAGAATCTAGTAAAGCGAAATCTATATTGGTTGAAATAAACACGAATTAGATAAATAACAAATCTATGCTATTCATTTGATGATGATTTATAGACATACCGTAAAATGCTTATTTATCTTCATTTTAAATTATAAATTGAGAATGAATATTTTTAATAAAAAAATATTTATGCAACAAAAAAAGATTTGTCGATTTTATACTTATGAAAAATTGTCGTTCTTGTTAAATTGTTGAAGATCAATGTTAGCAAAGGCATTATAGTACCTTATTTTTTCTTGAGATAGTATCTAAAACAGAACTTTTCTATGAAATGTGGTAACTCATTTCGAAGAGATCAAATTTTTTTATAGAAACGGTATTTTTCATGCATATTAGTAGGAGTAGTAAATTATGTTGAAATTAATAAGTAAATACGCATACTAATTTTATCATCTGATGCGTTTATAAAAAAAAATAAACATCAGAGACGAAATCTTATCGTGAGTTTTGGAAACAAACCGAGTCAAAATTTAAAATAAGCTAATGAATGTATTAGAGTATCAGTTTTAGATGAGGTTGGCTCGCGTATTTTTTTAGAAGTGAATTGAACCGATCCTATCTTTACTAAAAAGAACCAGTATATCTGCCAGACATATACTTTAATTGAACACTACAGAATACGTGAAAATGTTATTTCACGAGGGTAATGCCGTGATTTCAAATAGTATGAATAATGAATTTTGTACTAAATCAAAGTTCATCAAAAATGTGAATTAGTTATTCACAAGATGAGAATGAGCGATAGGCTTACGATAAGTTATAAAATTTTAAGGACATGATTTGAGACTTCTCTGAGTAATCAATTACAAAAATATAGAAGTTTCAGACATTTTTTGGTCTTTTTATCTTTGTAGAGCTCTCTTTGTTGATCCTTTTGAAACGAAAAAGATTTTAAACTTGATTAACAAGGAAATAGACCAGGATGAAAACCTCAAACTTCTCTAACTAAGAGATATTAAATGTTGACCAGCATTCATACTTTACCTACAGCTTTTAAGGATCTAGAATCAAAAAGGTAGATTTCTTCAGCAAAGTCTACATTGTACATTCTCTTTTTCTCAGAAACGTATAATAAAGTGTCTATTTCAGAAGTAGCAGATTTCCAGTACATTCTACTGTTACTCGGTATACTTCCTACTGAATATATTGAATGTAGTCTTGTTTTAAGTCTAAATTGTCAAAAGAGAACTAGAATAGAGAATGTTATCAGTTGACATTTTTCGGATAGAACGGTAATCGATTAGATCTTTCCACTTGACAATGCAATGACTCATCATATTTCTTTCATCCACCGCGTGCATGACTCATTTATTTTATAATGCATTACTGAATTAATCAAATTATTTTTTAATTTTTTGTTCTGAATATTAAAATAATAATCAAAGATATTTCTTCATAAAACTTTTAATTCTTTCTATTTTGTTTTCAATTCTCAAATTTTCTCATATATAGATGTCATTAATTTTATTTTTATATTTAATTGATCAGTTCAATAAAACCAATCATCAAAAATAAAACATTATTTATTTTCTTTTGTTCATTGCAGTTTTTAGTTTTTTTTCCACAAAGATGGCATCATTAAAACGAAAAAATTCATCAACAAGTACAGATGAAACAGATTCTGATGAAGAAGTTCCATCAAATACAATCGGTTCAAACGTACCATTAAAATGGTATGAAAATCATGATCATATTGGTTATGATCTTGATGCAAAAAAAATTCGTAAACCAATATCATCTGGTAAAACAGATGAAATAGATGAATTTCTTGAAAAAATGGAAAATGCTGATTATTGGCGTACAGTTTATGATGATTTAACTGGACAAAATATAACATTAACAAATGAAGATATAGCAACAATTCAACAAATAAAAAATGCTCAAACACATCCCGATGATTATGTGTATGAACCATGGTTAGATACATTCTCATCTGAAGTAATGATACATCCAATAGTAAATACACCAGAATCAAAAGCATCATTTATACCATCAAAATGGGAACGTTTAAAAGTAGGAAAATATTTACATGCAATTAAAATGGGTTGGATTAAACCAGTACCACCAAAAGAAGATCCATTATTATCAAATAATTATGATTTATGGTCTGATGAAACAAAAACAAATTTACCACGTTCAAATATTCCAGCACCTAAACTTGAATTACCTGGTCATCAAGAATCTTATAATCCATCAGTTGAATATTTACTTGATGATGATGAAGTTGAAAGATTAAAAT